AAAGATAGATGATGGGAGTTCCTTCCCCAGAGTTGGGGTCTGGCCAGGCACAAGGAGAGAGAGGGTTCAAAGGTAGGAGATAAATGTTCAGTCGAGCAGGTTCACTATACGGTCAAGAGTGGGGAAGAAAGAAATCAAGTCAGAACAAAAGTAACGTAATGAATGGGAAAGCAGGCGGGGATAGAAAGGTTGGGAAAGAGGTCTCTGGTGGAGTGTTCCAGGGACCTATTCTTGGCCCTTTGGTGCATAAGGTTTTTATCAGTGACTTAGATAAAGGCACAGATGACATCATTACTAAACCTGCAGATGACCCAAACCTGCGAGGGATAAATAACTCACTAGATGACAGAGTCATGATCCCAAAACATACAGACAGGCTAGGCCATTGTGTTGAATCTAATAAGATGAAATTCAGCAGGGATAAATGTAAAATCTTAAACATGGTTTCAGAAAAGTCACCTATAGAAGTACAAGAGGAATCAAGAATTACAGGATTTAGGGGCAGCTAGGTGGCACAGTGAATAGAGCTCTGGCCTTGGAGTCAGGAGAACCTGAGTTCAAATCCAGCTTCAGACACTTAACACTTATCTGTGTGACCTTGGGCAAGTCATTTAACCCCGATCACCTCACCAAAAAAGAAAAAAAAAGAATCACGGGATTTGAGAGTTGGAAGGGATCTCAGAGGCCGTTTGGTCCCTCCCATACATGAAAGGAATCCCCACTTTATCATCTCCAGTCTCCAAGGAGGGGAAAACCCACCCCCTCTTAGAGACCCCATTTCCCTCAAGGACAGCTGTCATTTTTAGGAAACATTTTCTAGGCATCAAGTCTAAATTGGCCTTTTTGCCACTTCTTACCCACTCTGGAACCAAACAGAATTAGTTTAATCCTTCCCAGATGTGGTAGCCCTTTAGCTACTTGAAGATATCTAACTTGTCATGGTGCAATGGATAGTGCTCTGGGGCTGGAGTCAGGAAGACCTGAGCTCAAATCTGACCTTAGACACTTAGTAGCTGTGGGACCCTAGGCAAGTCACTTAATTCTGTTTGCCACAGTTTCCTTATCTGTCAAATAAGCTGGAGAAGGAAATGGCAAACCACTCCAGTATCTATGCCAAGAAAACCCCAAGTGGGGTCATGGACACTTGGACATGACTGAAAGACAACTCAACAAATCATGTCCTCCTGCCTCTCCCTCACCCCTTCTCCCCAAGGGCTTCTCTTTACCAGGCTAAACATGCCCAGCTGATCTTCACATAACATACACTAAAGACCTTCCTTTTTTTGGCTTCTCTGGATACTCTGCAGCTTCTCAATGTCTTTCTTAAATCAGATTACCCAGCAATGAACTCCAGACTCCACAGAAGGCCTGACGAGGACAGAATTCATCTCCCTATTTCTGAAAGCCAGACTTCTCTTAATGCAGTCTAAGATCACATTGGTTATTTTGGATGCTATGGCACACTGCTGACTCATGGTTAGGCAGCAGTTTGCCTGAGAAAGATCCAGCAGTTTTCGTGAACTTCTAGCCCAATATGAATCAACAGGATGATACTTTAGCCCCCCCAAAGCTACTAGAAACTTGGGGTACATTAAGAGAAACCAGAGGTAAGGAAGGCATAGTACTTCCCCCGTCAGAATTCTTTTGAAATATTGTTCTAATCATCCCATCTTAGGAGAGGCATTTATAAGCTAGAGATGATCCAGAGGAGGGGGGCCAGGATGGCGAGGGGCCTCAGGTGCATGCCCTATGTGGACTGGCTGAAAGAACTGAGCATGTTTAGCCTAGAGGAGGCTTAGGGGGAACATGATAACTATATTCAAGTATTTGAAAAACTGTCACATGGAGATGGGATTATATTTGTCCTCTGTGGCCAAATAGTTCCCAAGAGGACAGAAGGAGGAACAATGGGTTAAAAGGGGAAATTTCAGATTTGACATAAGGAATTGTTTTCTAAGAACTAGTGATACCTCCAAGCAGAATGGACTACCTCACGTGGTAATAGATTTCCTCTCCGTAGAAGGCTTCAAGCAAAGCCCAAATGAGCCCTTGCTGGGTGTGCTGTGGAAGGAATTCTCGGATGAAATAAGCAGTCCAATACAGCAAGCACTTATTACCCATCATTCTTTCAGTTGCTCATGATCATAATCTTGACATCATCCTTGCCTCCTCACTCTTTCTCATCCAACCTACCCCAGCATCTGCCACATCTTAACCATCTCTAGCACCACCGCATCCCTCCTTTCTCCTCATGCTGCCATCATTGCAGTTCAGACCCCCATCGACCCCTGCCTAGATTTCTACAACTAATTGATTGTTCCTCCTACCTCAAATCCCTTCCTGCTTCTATCTTCCATAACACAGCCAAATTGGTTTTTCTTCTTTTCTTTTTTTTTTCAGGCAATTGGGGTTAAGTGACTTGCCCAGGGTCACACAGCTACTACGTGTCAAGTGTTTGGTCTACGGTCAGATTTGAACTCAGGTCCTCCTGACTTCAGGGCCGGTGCTCTATCCACTGTGCCACCTAGCTGCCCCCAAATCGGTTTTTCTTAAATGCAGGTCTGACCATGCTACTTCCCTACCCAAACAGTCCCAGTGGTTCCCTGTTGTGGCTTTGAGGACAAACTAGAAGCTTTTGAACTTTTAAAGCGCTTCACAATCTGACCCTAATCTGTGACTTGGGTACCACCTCAAATCTCCCCACCTTACCCCCCACACTAACTTTTCAACTCTGTTGCCTTGTATATGTTCTCTTTTTCCCTTAGAATGTAAGCTCCTTGAGGGCAGGGATTGTCTTTCTCTTTGCTTATATTTATATACCCAGGTACTATACAGTACCTGGCACACAGTAAGTGCTTAATAAATGCTAGTCACTGCCTGCCTGTAATGTACTCACTCCTCACCCCTGCCTCATAGAAGCCTTCTATTCCTTCAAGACACGGTTCAAGCACCGTCTTCTACATGATTATCCCAACTGCTAGTGACTTCCCTCCTTCCTTAACTTTATTTATTTGTCATATATATTTATTTATATTTATTTGGTTGCATGTATCCTCTAAATATTATGTACTTATTGTTTGGTATATATGTATATATACACATATCTACTTACTATTTTCCTATTAGAATGTTATATATATATATAATATTATATATATATAATATTATATATATATACACACACATATATAAAAGTATATATACTTATATATATCTTAATATATATAACAATATATAATATACTTAATATATATTATATGTGTAAATATGTATGTATATGTGTGTGGGGTGTATATATATATACACATATATACACACACATATATATACACATATATACATATATATACATATATACATATGTATATACACATATATGCATATATATACACATATACACACACACACACACTTACTGTTTTCCCATTAGAATGTTAGCTTCTATGCTATCCACCTCTAGGTAGGGAGGTAATAGACTCAGAGTATAGATTGAGACTTTTTTTTTTTAACATGGGAAAATTTATTTTGCTTAACTACATGTTTCTGGGCAGCTAGGCAGCACAGTGGAAAGAGTGCCAGGCCTGGAGTCAGGAAGACTCACTTTCTGGGCAAGTCACTTCACACTCTTTACCTCAGTTTCCTCATCTGTAAAATGAGCTGGAAAAGAAAATGGCAAACCAGTCCAATATCTTTGCCAAGAAAATCTCAGATGGGGTCATGAAGAGTCAGACGTGACTAAAAGGATAGCAATATATTTCTGATGGGTTTTGGTTTTTTGTTTTTCAATTAGGGGATGGGTGTGCGTAGAGAATGAAGACCTGGAAATAGAATAAAACTGAATTTTAATAAAAAGAACGTTAGTTTCTTGCGAATAGGAATTTGAGGACACTCAGGACAGTGCCTCTCACAAAATGGGTGTTAATCAACTGCTCATTTGCTTGCTCATTTATTTGTTTGTTAAGTGCCCCACTATTTGAAGAGCACTGGTAGTGGTAGGGGGCTAGGTAGGGGTAGGGCGGGGGGAGGAAAGAGAGGTCCAAATGAGCCTTAGGAAGTTACTTACATTCTACAACATGTACACAAGTAAGAACATACATTATAATATGAGAAAGACAGAACAGATACTATAACTAAAGGATCAGAAATGGAAAAGGCTTCCTAGACAAGGTGACCATGAGCGAAGCAGTCTAAGAGGCAGAGATGAGGGCAGCTAGGTGGCACAGTGGATAGAACACTGGCCCTGTAGTCAGAAGGACCTGAGTTAAAATCCAGCCTTAGACACTTAGCACTTACTTGCTGTGTGACCCTGGGCAAGTCACTTAACCCCATTGCCTAGACCCCCCCCAAAAAATTATGTGTACATATAATACATATATACACATATATGTGCATGTATGTATGTATATATATATATGTATATGTGTGTGTACATACATATATATATATATATATTTGGGGAAGCTAGGCAGCATAGTGGATAGAGCTCCAGCCTTGCAGTCAGGAGGACCTGAGTTCAAATTCGGCCTGAGACACTTGACACTTACTAGCTGTATGACTCTGGGCAAGTCATTTAACCCCATTGCCTATAAAAAAAAAGGTTAATCAACTTTCCTTCATTAGTGATTGATTATTATAAGTTGAACATAAAAGGCCTGGTTTTTCATTTGTCATTTATTAGTAGCATAAAAAAAATCATTTCTTGGAGCTCCATTTTTCTCATCTTTAAAATGAGGAGTTTGGAGTAGATGATTTCTGAAGGCCTCTTTCCTTCTCCAAAGTTCTGCCATCCTCTGATGAGTAGGTGGCTCTATCTACCATCTGCCACTTGAAACACTCTTACAACAGACTCACCTGTATTTTTTTTAATGTAATAATGATAGTAATCTCACATTCGTTTTTTCAAAGCTACTTTCTATTTATCATCAAAACTGAAAAAAGATGAGAGTGCTCTTCCTATAAAGCATCTCTCCTACTGTGGACGCTCAAAAGAAGGAAATCGTTCAATCAGCCTCGAAGATAACACCTGCCAGGCTGGTCAAACGCAAAGAATACTGAATCTTATTGATTTTACTTTGGTAGCCTGGGGACAGGCCTGCTGGTAGGAAAAAAAACCCCACATTCAGGCTGTCCGCAGGAGGCAAGAGACCGAAAACCAGACAAACCCGTGCTTCCAAAGCACAACAGCTCCCAGAGAGCGACACCTTCCCTCCTGGTGGTTTGATCAGAAACTCCAGAAAAAACCTGAAATTCTTCAAAACAGCCTCTGTTTCTTTATCCCTTTCAATTATTCCCCAAAACCAAAGGGAGGAGGCAGAAACAAATGTCGAGAGAGGGCACTGGTTTGAGTCTCAGTGGGGGGGAATTTGCCAGAAATCTTCCCATTGGATGGGGTCTCAGATTCCAAGGCTGATACTCCAAGGCTGAGAGGCCGTCACAACCTTGCCACTAACTCCTCTCTCATTTCACAGTGCAGCCCTTTTTAGGATTTCTTCAAGTGGCCTTTGTGAACCATGAGCACATCCACTGCCCTTGTTTTCAGCCTAACCTCAGAAGGGAGAAAAGAAAGACTTCTGAGCTTCTTGGTGCTTATCTATCAAATGAGAAAGTTCTGTAGCAAACTCCTAAGATCCTTTCCAACCCCATGACCTTCTGTCTCGATGTGCCAAGGGATTATGCCAGAGGCCACTGAGGCAATGAACAATAACACGGTGAACAAACCCTGAAAATATTATCAAAAACAAAAACAACAGAACTTCCTGTCCAAAGGTCTTCAAAACTGCAAAAAACTGATAGCATCCAATATGGGAATGGTTAAATCAATGACAAAATTCTATATGGCCATTAAGACATAAGTATGAAGAATTTAACTATATATATATATATATATATATATATATATATATATATATATATATATATATCTTTCTAAAGTGTGGAGCAAAAAAAAAAGTAGAACCAGATGCTGAGTGAAGTGAGCAGAACCAGGAGAATGTTGCACACAGTAACAGCCATGTTGTGTGATGACTAACATTGATAGACTTAGCTCTTCTCAGCAATGCAAGGATCTAAGACATCTCCAGTGGAAAATGCTGTCCACATCCAGAGAAAGAACTATGGAGTTTGAATGCAGATCAAAGCATACTATTTGCAATTTTTTTTCTTCTGTTTTGTTTTGTTTCCTCTTTCTTGTGGTCCCTCCTTTTGGTTCTAATTCTTCCTTACAACATGACTAATGTGAAAATATGTTTAATAGGAGTATATATAGAGAGCCTATATCAGATTGCACATTGTCTTGGGGAGGGAAAGGGAGAAAACTTTAAAACTCAAAAGCAAATGGAAGTGATTGTTGAAAACTAAGAAAAAAAAAGTAGAACCAGTAAAAATGGAATTATTATTAATAATAATAATAACAGCACTTATATAGTACCTACAATTTGCCAGGGCACACTGGGCAGCTAGATGATGAAGTCAATAGAGTGCCATGCTTAGAATCCTGAATTCAGATCCTGCCTCAGGCATTTACCAGCTATGTGACCCTGGGTAAATCACTTAACCCTGTTTGCCTCAGTTTCCTTATCTGTAAAATGAGGTGGAGAAGGAATGGCAAATCACTCTAGTATCTTTGCCAAGAAAACCCCAAGTGGGATCACAAAGAGTTGGACACCACTGAAAATGGCTGAACAACATGATAATGTGCCAGGGACTGTGCTGAGTACTCTGCAAATGTTATCTTATTTCATCTACACAACCCTGGGATGTATGTACTATTATTTCCTTCATTTTACAGCTGGGAAAATTGAGGTAAACATAGGTTCAGTGACTTGCTCAAAGTCACACAGCTAGTAAGTATCTAAGGCCAGATTTGAACTCAGGACTTCCTGACTCCAGGCCCATCATCCTATTTATTGTGCCTCCTGACCATATGGGAATAAGAATGAGAATGAATGGACAAATAATCCTAATGGGATCTGTAAAATGAAGGGGTTGGAGTAGATGGCCTTTAAGGTCCCTTCCAGATCTAGATCTTATCACATTCCAGAGAAGGAGTTCTTAACCTTTTTGTGTCATCACCCACTTTAGCAGTGGTAAAGCCCTAGGAGTCCTTCTCAGAATGTTTTCAAATGCATAAACTAAAATATATAGGATTACAAAGGAAATCAATTACATTTAAATGAAGGTGTGATTTTTCGCCCCCACCCAAGTTCCAGAATCTCTTCAAATCTATCCACTGACCCCTTAGGAGTCCCAGATCCCAAGTTAAAAACCTTACTTTTAGAGAATTTGTTTGACTATTGTATGCATTTAAATTAATTAATTCAAGTGTAAGTAGTTACTAAAGAAGTTGCACTGATATATAATATTAAGTTTTTAATAAATCACTTAGCAAAACATTTTTTAAACAAAAAAGGGTATATGGTGTTTTCTCAGTGCATCTGAAATGCCCTTTTCCATCAGGGTCCCTCCCCTTGGCACCTGAGAAAAGCTGAGGGCTCTATGGAACAGAACCACTAAAAAAGCTAAGGATTATTCTCTTCATTAAATGGCATATAAAGAAAAGGATATATCAATTATGGTTATTATTAGACTCTTAAAAAAAATCTTTAGGGGCAGCTAGGTGGCTTTGCAGATAGAGGCCTGGAGGCAGGAAGATTCATCTGGCCTTAGACACTTACCAGCTATGTGACCTTGGGAAAGTCACTGAACCCTGTCTGCTCAGTTTCTTCATCTGTAAAATGAGCTGGTGAAGTAAATGGCAAACCACTCCAGTATCTTTGCCAAGAAAACTTCAAATGGAGTCATGAAGAACATGACTGAAAAATGGCTGAACAATGAACAACAAAAAAAATTTAACTAATGACTTGACATGAATAATACTTTTTCCTACTATCCCTTCCTGTATCATTCTTCAAAATACTCATCAACAAGATGTCTGTATAAGGCTTCTGAGGGGAAAAATTGTAAAAGGAAAATAATGAAAGATGAATAAAGGTATGGCTTTGTCTTTTTTTTTTTTTTGGCTAGGCAATGGGGTTAAGTGACTTGCCCAGGGTCACACAGCTAGTAAGTGTTATGTGTCTGAGGCCTGGTTTGAACTCAGGTCCTCCTGACTCCAGGGCCGGTGCTCTATCCACTGCACCACCTAGCTGCCCCAAAGGTATGTCTTTGGCTGAGGTAAAAGTGTGATAGAACTGGTTTGGCATGGGAGACCCACATTAAATGAGAAATTTGCATCAAATATCAGTTATTTCTCATGCCTAGAAATCTCAGTGGTGGTGTATGGGACCTGAACCTCTAAAAAGGGTCCTTGAACTTTCCAACAAATTTCTTTTTTTTTAGGCAGCTGGGGCTAAGTGACTTGCCCAGGGTCACACAGCTAGTGTCAAGTGTTTGGTCTGAGGCCAGATGGTCCTCCTGCCTTCAGGGCTGGTGCTCTATCCACTGTACCCACCTAGCTGCCCCCTCCTGTAAATTTCTGCAGCCCAGATCTCTGGCATTTGCTTGAGGCATCCGGCCCATCCCAGTACAATCCTTTCAACTGTCCTTTCATTGTGGCTGGCCCCTGACCCAGCCCAGCCCTTCATTCTCTGTTAGATCACCCAGGCTACTAGCCATTCCTTAATCCTGTCAATATCCTTTTACTGACCCATTTTCCCTTTCTTCTTATAAAAGTTTCATTCAAAACCCCATTAAGCAGCAGACTCACTAGGAATCTCACCCATGTAAATGGTGTCTCAATAAATTTGCTACTTGGACTGAAAGAAGGCTTGAGTGGTCAGATTCTTTCAAGGCAGACTCCGGCCCTGTATCCTTGCATTTCAGAATTCCCAGCACCCCTAGACCACAACATCTCTGTTGTAAACATCCTGATACCTATGGTCTGGGACTTTCTTGGGAAGTTTGAAGAAATGAAATGTTGCCAAAACAAACTCACAATCACCTAAAATCAAGATGTATTCACCCATTTCTCTGCTAAGTACCATGGGGAGCAAAGAATCAAGACGCTATGCACCTTGTCCCTAAGGAGTTCGCAGGTGTGTTGGGAAAACAAGACAAAAACCCAAGGAGTTTGAGTGGTATGGTTAAGGAGTAAAATCTAATACGAGTGGGTCGGAGTTCAGTGGAGGGAGAACTCTGTAATGGAAATGAAATGGCACACCCAAATTGCTTTTAAGTGATGGCTCGCAAGAGGACCCATCATGGACATTACACACGTTATCTCATTCAACCTTAACAACAACTCTGTGACCAGACATTAATATACCCATTTTACAGATAAGAAAAGTAAGAGGTTAAGTGGTTTGCCTAATATCATCCAGCTTTTAAGTAGCTTAGCCAGAAGAGTAGAATCTAGGTCTTTTGATTCTCAATCCAGGCCTCTTTCCACTGCCTTTTAACAAATGAGATAATATATGTGAAAAATGATTTGAGTACTATGAAAAATGTAAGGGTTTTTTTTTTTTGGCGAGGCAATGGGGTTAAGTGACTTACCCAGGGTCACACAGCTAGTGAGCATCATGTGTCTGAGGCAGGATTTGAACTCAGGTCCTCCTGACTCCAGGGCTGGTGTTCTATCCACTGCGCCACCTATCTGCCCTGTAAGGTATTCTAGGATGCAATAACAATCCCTTTGGCTGCTTTATATAAAGAACTGATGTTCATTAATTTTTTTCTTAATTCACTTGCAGAATTTTTCCCACTGCCATTCCCATAGAAACCAGAAGTTAAGGGCCATGAACACAGGAAGATGAAGGCAATTTTAGTCTATTACTCACCAGGAATCGTTCAATTTGAAGTTAGTGCTAGAAAACACAAATCAGGACCACCTTCGAGGCTAAGCAAATTGAGAGGCATTGGTAAGTACCCTTTGTTAAAAAAAAAAAAATCCAAAAAGCTGAGCCTAGCTGAAATTGGACATTCATTTCTTTGGGCTAACAAATTGTTTTAAAATGAAAATACTCTTCAAAAGATTAACACATTAATGCTATAGTCTTTCATACTTTAGTGTGAATTAGTTTCATCATCTGCTTTCTTCCTTATCACCACCAAAGATTGTATGCCTTTAGGGAACTGTAAGTTTTTATTGGATCAGAGAAAGAAAACAGGCTTGATTCTGGGGTATGTGACCCTATTCAGAGAGGACAGCTGGTGGTAGACAAAATATTATTTGGGGGGTTTGCATGTCATGGAGAAAAACAAGCTGGTAACAGACAAAATATTATTTGGGGCATACTAACCTTCAAAAATATTATTGTCAGTATTTTTCCACGAATTTGTTCAATAAGCTTACACTTTCCTTTAAGGATCAGGATGGCCTCATGACCATCAGACCTAATCTTATAACAATGGCTTCCATGCATAGATTCTGTAAGCTACAGCCTCTCTTAAGGAGAGACTGTCATGGTGGTCTCCAGGCCACCAGACCTAATATGTAACAATACTTCAGTATTTGTCATCATCAATGTCAGTTTTCTTCCTATCTATAAACTGGCCACGGTGTCTTTTATTGAGCCTCTAGCTAGCTTGTCAGAGGAAACACCAGAAAGAAGGCAAGATGGACACATGTAAATTATAAGTGACTACCACAGTACCATTTCAAAAAAAATGAGTCAAATACCTTCCACATGTCAATCAATCCATAAGCATTTATTTGGCACCTACTATATGCCAAGCATTGTAGTAGAATTTACAAATGCAAATACTAAGGTGAGATAGTCTCAACCTGCAAGGGCCTTACATTCTACATATAATATAGCAGGCACTCAATTTGTTGAATTTTAATTTTGAATTTCTATCATTCAGGTTCTATTTATATCACTCCCTGCTCTAGTATTCTTACCAATAACTTCTTCCAGTTCCTTGTCCTCAAGGGTGGTTGGTTTAGCAATGACCAGTTGTGGCGCACAGAACCCAGTTTCTCCAGCCAACGTGAAGAGGTCTTTCCAGAATAGAGCTCCCCCTAAACATTCACCTAAAACAACTGCATAACCACAATACAATTAGAAGGAAAGGTAAAGGCTTATTTCCTCATAATGACTAGGATTTGGACATAGTTAAAACTCCAGCCCAGGTTTTCCCCCAAGATATAGGAAGTAATAAATTGAATGAAGTCCAGTAAAGAGCTCTAAAGCATCTACTACGCATTCATGTATAAGGTATAGCTGCTAGAGGGTAAGAGAGAGACAAAAATAAACAAGAAATTATTTCTGCCCATTACAATAGACCAGACTACAGCCTGATGTAAGATAATAAGAGAAACAAGAGCCTGAATTGGCAATAGGAATGGAAAAAAAGATAATTGAGAAATATTGTGGAGATAAAATCTTGGCAACTGATTGGACATGGGCAGAGGGAGTGGGAAAAGTCAAAGATGATGTTGAGGTTTTGAGCTTGGTTTAATGTAGAAGAACTGATCAAAAGTGAAAAGGTCTGCCTTGTGTGGTGGTGGCTCATTCCATAATGGATATATGGTCAAAGGACATGAATAAGCAGTTTTTAGAGGAAGAAATTCAAGCTACCAATAACTATGTGAAAATAAGCTCCAAAATCACTAATAATTAGAAAAATGCAAATTAAAATGACTATGGGGTTCTACCTCACACCTCTCAGATTGGCAAAGTTTAAACAAAAGAAAATGACAAATTCTGGAGGATTTATGGGAAAACAGGCATGTTTATTCCCTTTCGGTGCAGCTATGAATGAGTCCAGCCATGCTGGGAAGCAATTTTGGAACTATGACCAAAAAGCTATTAAATTGTGCATACTCTTTGACCCAGTAATATAACTGTTAGGTTTACACCACAAAAAGATGAAAGAAAGAAGAAAGGGACTCACATATATGAAAACATTTATAGCAGCTCTTTTTGTGGTGAGAAAGGATTGGAAACTGAGGGGTTGCTCAATAATTGGCTGGACAAGTTATGGCATATGAATGTGATGGAATACTACTGTGTTATAAGAAGTGATGAAGGCAATGTTTTCAGAGAAACCAGGGAAGATGTACATGAACTGATTGATGTAGAGTGAATTGAACAGAAACAGGAGAACACTTTATATTATAACAACAATATTGAATAGACAACTTTGGAGGACTTAGCGACTCTGCTCAGTGTAATGACCAACTACAATTCCAGAGGACTGAAGATGAAACATGCTACCCACCTCCTGATAGACAGGGTGCACTTAAGAGTGCAGATTGAGACATTTTTTGGACACAGCCAACGCAAGAACTTGTTTTGCTTGACTATACATGTTTATAAGAGGGGTTTTGTCTTTCTTGCTTCCTCACCCGTGGAAGGCTGGAGGAAGGGAGAGATGGGAGACAGCGAAAAGGTGCATCTGAAAATGAAATAAAATTTGATTTTTAAGAAGTGGTAAGCTTCCCATGTTTTTCAAGCAGGAGCTAAATGATCCCTTGTAGATGGTCCCATAATGTGGGAATTCTTTTCCTATGCGGGTTGGACTAGAAGGCTGCTGGGGTCCCTTCCAGCTTTCAAATTAGAGTGGTGGCACCATCAACAAAAATAGGGAAGTTGACTGGAGGGGCAAGTTTGGACAGAGAAGATAATGGAGTCAATTTTGGATATGTTGAGCTTGAAGTGCTGAAGGAGATATTGAGGTGGAGGGAGATACCCTAGAGGCAGTTGAAAATGTGGTCTGGAGTTCAAGGGAGAGGTTAGGATTGCAGATAAAAATTCTGAATTCATCCACATAGAGGTGATGGTAAAAGCCAAGGGAATAGACAAGATCCACAAGGCAAAGAATTACATGGAGAGAAGAAAGCTAAGGACAGAATCCTGAGAAATGCCCCCATTTGGAGGTAGTGGGGTGGGAGGGGGCTAGAGAAAGAAAAAGAAATCTGTAAAGGAGACTCAGAAGGAACAATGAGATAAGATGAAAACTGGGCCTTTTAACTAATGGCCTTTCAAGGTGGATACTCCAAGATAATTTCACACTGATTAGTCCCTCACTTTGTGATTAAACAAGACTTCTTTTAAATCCTGTCTCCAGCTTGCTCTCACAACTATTCTAGAAGACAATACAAAGTCTAAGATTTCACACCGTAGTTGGAGTGATTTTGTAACTTTTTTCTCTTATTACATTAAAAAACAACAACCTACCCCTTAAAACTTTATGTACCTTGACTTCTGCAGGCAATTTAAGGCTAGCATAGACAGCAGTGAAGTACAGCTCCCCTCCAGGCTGAAAGAGAAATTACTTGGTCCAAGCAAAGCCAAGTTTGGGATCAGTCTCAGAGGAAAGGAAAGCAAAATGGAGGGGGGGAAAAAAAACTTAGAAAACAAACAAAAAAGTCTCATCTGACCCTGCATGTGTCAGTCATATTCAACTGTCTACATGAGTCTATATTCACAAGTGCAGCCAGCTAAGTGAACAGGATTTTAGCTCAGGGACAAACTCAACAAGAAATAATACGGCCATAGACTCCCATCTCCTGAAGAAAGACGATCAGCTGGTCCCTAAACTCAGAGCCATTGTCAGCCCAGTCAGATTCAGGCTGTTGTACACCTAACAGCATATAATAACAGCGATGCTGAAAATAACAGCAGTCCATATTTATGTGCTCTTACAAAGGTCTTTTCTCACAACCCTAGCTATCTAGGTTTCTCCAGTCTTAGAAGTACCATCCTCAAAAATCTCAAGGCCAGGGGGCTCAGGACTCCTGGAAGATACATTCCAAGGTCTCAGAAAACTCAGAAAGTTCAAAACTCAAAGTTCACAAAGTCTTCAATCCTCTTCCAGAAGTGAAAACGATGAATCAACTCTAGCAAAAATGTTTAAAAGCCATGGGGCTCTTTGGGACTGCTGGCCAGAGTCTTTGTGGCAAGGAGTTATAGAAATTCTTTTACTTTGTTCTTGAAACTAGAAAGGAGCCTGGCATTCCTGCAAATAGGGCATAAGCCAATTACCACCAAGACACCTTGTAGCAGGAGCAACATCTACTCCATATAGGCTTAGTTAGTTTTCTCCTAAAAGGCAATGAAACTGTTCTTGAGACTTAAGTGGTCCAGGGAGCTAAGGCTCAACCAGCTAACACAGCTTTTTAGCTACCTAAGTATAAAAGCCCAGAGTACCAAGAGTTGAGGGCTCTTTAGGCAACCTTCAGGCTTGACACACCTTATTAACAAAGTGTGCCACTGTAATAAATGCAAAGGCATGGGAAACTGCCGTACTTGAATAATTCTGGGTCCTTACTGAATAGCCTTTCCAAGCTATTGTTAAGTAAATCTCCTTTGGTTAAATGTTAGATGGTCTACAATTGTCCTGATCTATATCTTGCCACTGGATCTCCAGAGGAGAGAGTGAGGCTAGCGGATTTTCCACAGCCCTCCCTCACTTAAATCCAATTCACTTGCAAGTCATAACATCACCTTCCTGATGTCATGGTCCTCTTCAAGAACGTAGGACAAACAATAATCTGTGAGTAATAGTAGTTGCTCCACTGGGGACCCAGCTGGCCAGCTTCAGTTGAGCAACACAGCTTCTTCCTTATTTCCTTCTTCCTTCCTTCCTCCCTTCCTTCCTTCCTTCCTTCCTTCCTTCCTTCCTTCCTTCCTTCCTTCCTTTCTCCCTCCCCTCCTTCCCTCCTCTTCCTCTGTCCACAAAGGGAATCATACCCTTACCTGCAGGTGCTCTGCCCAAAGGAATGCAAATTTTGATCACTGAAACCTTGTAAGATATCTTGGAGTTTATGGGCTAGATTTCCAGCTTTCATTGATTGGCCAACAATAGATACCAATCCAAACCTCACTTGGTCATTGTTTGGGGTCTGATCGTGAGTGTAAAGAGCAATTATTTCTGAGAGTCTTCCCCTCCCAGATTGATTTTTTTTTTACTTACCTAGCCTTAATCACTGAATGGGTGTTGCCTCAGTCAAAATGAGATCTGGAAAAAACTTTAGCTTAAAAAGGCCAAGGTCTCCCTGCATCCAGGGCCATCTCTAGTTGTCCTGATCTATATCTTGCCATTGGACCCAGATAGCTCCAGGGCAGAGAGTAAGGCTGGTGATACTGCACAGCCCTCCCTCACTTAAATCTAATTCACTTGCAAGTCATGACATCACCTTCCTGATGTCATGGTCCTCTTACAGAGCAAAGGACAAACAACAAACAAATGAGATGGTCTACAAGTGTCTGGTTCTGTTCCAATCTATAGCCTAAACCACCAGATGACCCTGAGTCAGAACTGGTCAAATGACCCTCGTACAGAACACACCGACTTCCCCACATACCAGGTCATACACTTTGAAGAACAGATCCTGCTTGACTCAGATCTACATGTCCATACAGCTTTGCCCCTGTGGTATGTGATTATAATGGAATACTATTGTGCTGTAATAAATGATGAGCAAGATACTTTCAGAAATACCTAGAGACTTACACAAATGGATGCAAAGTGAAGTGAGCAGAACCAGAGCATTGCACACAGTAATAGCAATATTGTACGATGATCAACTGTGAAACTCTCATGATAAATCAGAGTGGTCTCCAGAAATGCTTTAGCTAGAAAGTCACAGCAGTATATGGGAAGAAAAATTACCCATCTTCTTATACTTCCTAAATTCTTTGGTGTCAGTGAGGATACTTAGTATTGCCTCATTGCCATTTATGAACCTGAAAATAAATCTGAACCCAGGGCTCTCTTGTCATCACTTTTTAATCCCAGAAGTAAATGAGAGAAACAAGTTTAGATCTCAGTTCAGGTAAGGGAAGGGAAGACCATGACTGACGCTCAGTGATCAATACTCAGTGCCCTACCTCCAGCACTCCATATACTTCCCGCAGAACATTTTGTTTATTTAGCACAAGATTAATGACACAATTCAATCTGGAGAAAAAAAAGAAACTTTCTTCCAACTTCTTTTTCCCCTGACATGAGCTCTCAAGTATATCGGCATGTAAGGAGGGCACATATTTCTGAGCTGCCTAAATGATGTTGGTTCTAATAATTAGGTGCCTGCTTCCTCTCCTGCTAACAGGGATGTTATGGAGTGAAAAGGACTAGATTCTGAGTCAAAACATCCTAATATGAGTTCTAGCTCTACCATTTACTAGCTGTGTATCTTTGGGCAGCTATGTGGTACCATGGTACATAGAGGGCTGGGTCTGGAGTCAGGAAGACTCATTTTCGTGAATTCAAATCCTGCCTCAGACACTTACCGCTGTGTGACCCTGGGCAAGTCACTCAGTTTGCTCATCTGTAAAATGAGCTGGAGAAAGAAATGACAAACCACTCCAGTATCTCTACCAAGAAAACCCAAATAGGGTCACAAAGAGTCAGACATGACTGACATCTTTGGACAAATTTCTTGACCTCTAAGGTTTCCTTATCCATAAAATGGGGATAGCAGTACCTACCTTGCCTGCTTCACTGTTTCACATCAAAGAGAACATATACATGAAAATATTTTGTAATTGTAAAGCATCATATGCATAGAAAGGGCCTTTTCTGTAAGGTTCTGCAAGACAGGAAGAACACTTAGAGAATTCAACGTTCTTAAATTTCAGGAAAAATGTCCTCTGGTTATGAGTTTCTGAGGAAAAAATAAGTTATCATTCCTCCTTTCTTTTTGCCCTGACCCTCATCATGAAGTAGCAATATTAAGCCTAAGACCAGACACTCATAAAATACTTCTTCCTCTCCACCACCAGTTCTTAGCTTTTTTGTGTCATAGACCCCTTCAGCAGTCTAGAGAAGCCTATGGAACCCTTCTCAGGATCATGTGGGGTTTTTTCATTTTTATATTTTTTTTCCAATTACATATAATAATTTTTAACATTTTTTAAAAATTTAAGTTCTACATTTTCTCCCTCTTTATCCTCCCCGCTCCTTGAGAAGGCAAGTAATTTGATATAGACTATACATGTACAGCCATGTAAAACATATTTCCAATTAGTCATACTGGGGGGGGGGAACAGACCAAAAAAGCAAGAAAAATAAAGAAAGTAACAAAATGTATGCTTTGATCTCCATCCAAACTCTATCATTTTCCTTCTCTGGAGGTGGACAGCATTTTTCATCATGAGTCCTTTGGGATTATCTTGGATCACTGTATTGCTGAGAATAGTTAAGTCATTCATAGTTCATCATTATAATATTGTTCTTACTGAGTACAATGCGCTCTCTCTCTCTCTCTCTTTTTAAAGGCAATTGGGGTTAAGTGACTTGCCCAGGGTCACACAGCTAGTAAGTGTCAAATGTTTGGTCTGAGGCTGGATTTGAACTCAGGTCCTCCTGACTTCAGGGCTGGTGCTCTATCCACTGTGCCACCTAGCTGCCCCTTAAGATGATCTTAAAAACAACATCCAGCCTTACTCTTACTGAGATGGTCACTTGGCATTCATCAGTTCTCTGCCTTCCCCAACATTCAGGGCTGATTGTTGTTCTGAACCTCTTGTCTGATCTCTCAGAGAAACAGACCTACATGACAATGTCCTAACTCTCATCTTCGATTCCAATCTCCCCCAGCTTTTCTATGTAGCCATGAATAAAATTCACATCAGGAGTCTGGAAACCAAACTTTTTCATGTGGTAATCAAGGTACTTCTTGGCCACTTCTCCCTGGAGGAAAGAAAATTATAGATGCCAAAAGTTAGGCTATTTAAAGAAAAAAATATACCACATACTTTCCTTCCATAGCTTCTCTGCCAGTGGGAGCTACTGCCCTGAATCTATCATAGGAAAAAAAAATACGCAGGTTCCTGCTAACGCAGGTCGATCCGTGGGGGACTCATATCCCCTGCTTGACACCAAGGTCTTCCACAAATACATTCCCCCTATCAAACCTTTGCAAGATAGATTGGGGGCAGAGGGGAGATCTGATAACATTTCTACATCATACCAAGACTCTAACTCTTTGTTCCGTCAATGAAGTCACAGAGAGTCAAGGATTCTCAACCTCATGGTGTAATACTTGACGCTGTCAAGGACTGCAATAGAGGATCTGCTGGCACTCAAATTATACTGGAAAAGATGCAAAGGCCTGTTTATGGAGAGGAGAAAGCGTTGGGTTGGAAGTCAAAAAGCCCAGGGTTGGAATCCAGCCTCTGAAATTTGGTAGCTGCTTGACCCTGAGTGACTCATTTAAGGCTGAGGCTAAGGCTTAGAACTGAGGCTCCCCGGGTCTCAGTTTTCGCATTTGTAAAAATGGGGATAATAGCACCAGCCTCACAGGGTCGTTGTGAGGATCAAATGAGATCATGGATGTAAAGTGCTTTGCAAGCCTTAAAGCTCTGTATAAAGGTCAGTTATTATCATTGCTATTTGTTAAGGGAATAGTATTAAGAATACATTTACCTTCTGCCACCAAATACTGGCCTCAGAGATCCAAGATCTGGCCTCTGGTGGTTTATTGCTAAGAATGTAAGCTCTCTGGTAGTAGTTTAGAGTAGAAAGAAGCTCAATGTTGTTGTTTCAGTCTTGTCTGACTCACTGTGACCCCATTTAGGGGTTGTTGTTTTTTGGCAAAGATACTGGAGTGGTTTGCATTTCCTTCTCCAGCTCATTTTACCAGATGAGGAGACTGAGGCAAACAGGGTTAAGTGATTTACCATGATCACACAGCTAGCAAGGGCCTGAGGGCAAATTTGAACTCAGGTCCTCCTGACTCCAGGCCCAGCACTCTATCCACTGCACCACCTACCTGCCCTTGAAAAGTGATTAGATTGCACCAAAGTTCTCCTCGGTGTGATATAAAACTTTCTCGTAACAGGTCAGATAAAGCATTTTCTGTTCCTTCTAGGCTGATGTCACTCTGAAGTTGAATATGATTTCCAGCATTGCTCAGCCTCAAACTTAATACCTTGGAAATACAGGCTCATCACACCTGAACAGATTTCTTTAATGCTACGATTTATTGTTTGTGTTCCCAAATAAAGTGCAAATGAATCCTGGGAAGAAAAACCCCCACATAACCTCACCTGAAACTGTCGTGTCTATTCCAGTGACGTGTCCCTTCTCACCAACCAGCTGGCTGGGGGCATAGCAATCTCTGCTACTTGCACTATCCAAGTCCAAAATCTATCAAGTCTCCAGACACTCAGGGATCACCATGCCACAGCCATCGTATCTGGTGATTCGAAAGCTTCTCCCTAGAGCCTGGCTAAGGAAGCTAGGTGGTGCAGCGGATAGAGTACAAAGCCTGGAGTCAGGAAGACTCATCTTCCTGAGTTCAAATCAGGCTTTTGGACACTTCCTAGCTGTGTGACCCTGGGCAAGTCACTTAACCCTGTTTCCCTCAGTTTCCTCATCTGTAAAATGAGCTGAAGAAGGAAATGACAAACCATTCCAGTTCTCTGCCCCTCAAATGGAGGCACAAAGAATCAGACGTGACTGAAAAAACGACTTAACACACACAATACATTACAAGAGGGAGACGCTAGGGCTGGTACACTGAAGACTTAGGCCTTGAAGGATGAGTAGGATTTGGAGAGACAAAGGTCACAAGGAAGGGCTAGGCTTCTTGCCATTCATTCACCAATTACAAGAGTTCCCACCTCAGTTCCTTTGTCTCTGAAATGTGCTTCTATTCACTTCTGACCACTGAAATCCTGCTGGTCCTTTAAGGCCCAGTCTAAACACCATCCTCCATGACACTGCTCTGAGTTCTACCAGGCAAGAGTGATTTCTCCCTAACCCAATACTTTTTCGTGACTGTTATCTCCCGGAGAGCTGGAACTGTCTTTTTTCTTAATACTTCTTTGTATCTCCAAAGCTTAGGACAGTGCTTGGTACATAGCTGTTTATTAATAAAGGCTTGTTCACTATATGACAAAACGGTTTCTTAAATATGTTCACCTCAGCTATTAGAATGAGGGCGGGGCCCTGTCTCTGTCTCCCACAGCACCTAATACAGGGACATTGGTTATACACAGTGTTAACTGGAAGAGGGAATGGCAGAAATCACTCTGGTAAATTTGGGTGAGAGGAAGAAGGGCAAAGAGATATTGAGAAGACAGTCAATCAATCTATCAATAAACTTGAAATTATTAAGTGCTTGGAAAAACAGGGCTTTAATAGATGAATAGATACATTTACTGCTTAGATTTATGGTTTGTGCTCCCAAATAAAGTATAAAACAATCCTGGGAAGAACCTGGTTAGTACCAGCTACCAGGCTAAAGGCAAAACCGAGGAGAGAGCAAAGCCTAGCTGCAGTAAAGTGCAGGTTACTGTGCCATGTATAGGTTACTGTTTAGAAATAGTCAAAAATTTAGTATCAAGAAAATTTATTATAAAGAAAGTCCAGAGGATTTAGATGTTTCTGGCCAGAAGCAGGCTCCACCCCTCTTTAGGAGGGGTGGGCCTTGAGTGTAAGGGCAAGTGTGCTTTTATGCAGTTGAATTCGGGCGCGAAACCTCCCAGGCCGGGATTGGTCCATCCCTTCCCAGGTTACACCTTTCCTTACATGTTTCCCCTTGATATGCTCAAGTATGTTCCCCCTCCCTTGGTCACATGTCCCATGACTCGTTAATGAGGCTCTGATTTTATGCGGGGGTGTGTCAGATAATAGTAATAAAGTTCATTAAGCAGGCGCACTAACATTTTTCAGGTGTCCTCAGGTTGACCCTAACTGGTCTGAGCTGGCTCGACCCTTATCTTGATTTTGGGGTCTTTTGGAACAATCCACTTACTTTATTGGTCAAGCCCAGCCCACCTACAGTGTGCCACCTCCTGGGACCTTTGTTCTTTAAATCTCTGCATTATTCTACCTGTGGAAACATAAGCCCTTCTAACTCTAACAATTCCCTCCTCTTCTTCTCAATAAGAATTATGTTTCCACACTTTTTGTTCCTGTTGTCTTTCCTCAAAGCATTTTATCATTAGTTCGCATTCTTCATCAGAAGGAGAGGAATGATCATTAACTCTCTCAATCATCATCCTAACTCCACCTGATCCTGTTACCTGAATTCCTATAGCTGGTCCTATTGGGATACTAGTGCTGTTTCTATTAATTTTTGCACTAGTCCTCTGACACAAGGGTTGATGCAACACCTTACTGCAGTTAAAATTCCCGCAGCTACGGTTAGAGAGGTGATGATGGATGCCAGACCAGGATTCTAACCATCACTTTAATCAGTTATCTATCCCAGAATTCTCTGCCAACTCCTCAGCTAAAGTGGTTAAACCTTGCAATGCCTTAGTGATGGTTCTACCTGGGACTGTGCTGCTGGGCAACATTTCATCAAGGGATTTTGGGGACTTAAAACAATATGAGAGAAGGAAGGGAAGAGTTGACCGATGCATTGACAAATTAAAAAGGGGGCAGTCCCCTTATTAAGTACAGATACAGAGACCCAAAAGTAATGATAAATTGTCCATTTAAAGCTTCAGAAGTCTCTTCTCATACTGCTGTCTGACACTCTGGACATCATCCGGTGAAGTCTTCTTGTCTAAGTGCTGTTCAAACAGTGTCCAGCAGACTCTCCTCCTGCAGAGATCCTTCTTCTTGTATCCACTCTCCTACAAGATTGATCTCAACACAATTTTAAATTACCTTGCCAATAACCAGGGCAAATAATGAAAATTAACTCAACCCCTATGTCTTCACCATTACAAGATCAAAATTGGAACTTTGTCCAATTGTCATGTTTCAAGACACTCAAATTTAAAAAAAAATTAGAACCTAGCCTTACATTCTGCATTACTCATTATTTCATTATTCATTCCTATTCATATTCCTCATCAGGAGGATGAGATTCCACTAAGGAATTAATAACACACTCCAATACATAGTAGTTAATTTAAAACCAGTACATATCAAATAACAAAACAATCCCAACTTCTAGTCATGTACAAATATCCTTAATTAAAGTAGATGCTTCTTTCAAGGCATTTACAAGATAAGCCATAAGCTATTCCTCTTTTAACATTAATTGTAACAAACTGAGATAACTTTAACATTAACTAAGTATTAACTAAGTAACAGAATAATATCCTTGTTCCACAATCTCCTGGCCTAATTATCCCCTAATGATGTGGGGTAAGGGTCCAAGTCGACCCCTGCCCCTTGCCCCAGAAAGAATGTGGCTCTCCTTTGTCTAAGGGCCCCAGCTCCCCATCTTCCTTTGAAAGCCCTGGCCCCACTTCTTGATCTTATTCAGATGCCTTTCAAACCTCCTCCCTCCAGTTCCCTTCATTATCTGTTCCCATTGTCTATTCAATCTCTCAGACATTCCAATCAGAATTCTCTCCTAGACCCTTTTCCCAGCCCTTCCTCTGGTCACTCAAAGTTACTTTAGTGAATGTAAGATCCACCCTGACCCCTATTAAAATGCAGACTTTCTCATGCCTGCTCCTCCTTATGGGGGTCACCTGGCCCATATGGTTTATCTCCAACAAACTTATCCCCCTGGCTGAAAGACCTGGGCTGAACTTCTTCAGAAGGGACCCTTGTGCTGTGACCTTAGAGTCCCAGCACCCCCAAACCTCCAGACCTCATCATAACCATTATGAGAAATTAAAGGATCCTGACTTATACAGGAATATACTTAATTCTGAAATTCTAGGCCAAATAACTCAATCTTTTCATCTTACTAATAACCTCAGATCTCCCGCATCAATCTATTGCTTAATAGATTCAATATTTATGCTTACAAACTTATGAATATAGGAATTTGCCATGAAAGAACATAACTAAAGTAAGGGAACAATGCTTCCCTAGATTCATGTCAACTCCAGGCAGAAGTTATATAATGACCAACTGCATTGAGCCAGGTTTAAAGTCTGCCAGGTGTCAGTGGGGAAATTGAGTCAGGAGAATCCTACCTCAGCCATGCAGAAAAGTCGTTCTCCCAACCTTCCCATGAGAACACCTTCTTGCAGCTCATAGGTGCAGCTCACAAACCTCTTTGCAGGTTGCTGACGTCATGGGTCAGTAGCTCAATCAGTTTGTTGTTAACCATACCTGGATTTAGACTCAAAATAATATTTCATTAACAGATTCCAAGGTCTTAGATAGCAAATTCCCCTCATCAGAGTTTCAGGTGTGACTAATTGTCACATTAATTAGGGAACATCTCCAAAGTGAGTAGCTTGCATAACTTCCTACACATGTTGTGGTTCCTAATAACATCCTAAGTAAAATCAAATTTCCATTAAGATCATAAGTTGCTACTCCAAATAGATTTGCCTTTCTGTTTCTCAAGCTTATCTATCCCTAACCATCCTTAATCTGAAAGAATGAGACACTTTCAGGACTCGAATCTTATACATATAAGTTTAAATAGTAATTTTAGCTCTTTCTAGGCCATGGAATGAATTCAGATCAAAACAGTAAGATCTTTCCTACTTACAGCTTATATGCTTTAGTATTAATCACTAGCCTTAGATCTCTGACACTGCTCCCATTGAGACTGTTTCTCTAAAAGCACCGTTAAGTCCAATCCAAGGACACAACAAACCCAGAAATGAAACTCTTAAGTTCATAAGAGATTTGAACATAATTTTCATCAACAATAAATTATTACTGCAACAAATTAGCTTGCATATAGAAATTTAGTGGGCCCTCTAAAAGAATATCAAAGACTTCATCAAAACATCTTCTTCATAAAGGTATCTCCTTTTCTTAAAAACAGCTTACAATTTCCTAATTACCATTGTCAACCTGAACATTGGTTAAAGAGACCACAAGCTAGTGATAAGTGATATTCCACCCTGACTCAGGACATCTGGGTTAATCAGTTTCATGGTCTCCAAATGTTTAACCTAAGCATGAGAAAGGAAATTTAAATAAGATAGGCAAATGTCAGATCCAGGACATCTGGGTCTCCTTTACCACCATCAAGGTAGAAAAGGATCAGTTAAGGTTTTTGGCCCTTATTGGGGCTCGACTGATCTTAAATGATTATCACCATAAAATTCCTAGTTACCTGATTTCTTTAGTCCAGAGGTGTCCGCAATGGGCCACTTAATCAGTAAGAGTTCCACCTCAGAGAAAACTCCTGCACAGAATTGATAAGAATTATGAGATTTTACAAAATCTTTCTTTGCATAATTACATAGTTTCTTTACACACACACAAAAATACTTCTACCAGTAATTCACTTAAACAGTAACTCCAAATAGCTTAGTTAACAATTTTAAACTTCATAAGTGAGAGCCAAATAATACCAGCTAAAACTTTCCTTTAAACAGAGAAAACTTTTAAGTTCTCATTTCTCAAATTATAGTACTTAAAAAGGAAATGTTACAGAACAGGGTCATATAGAATTCCCCAACAGCCTTTACCCATTCCTTTTTTTTTTCTTTTCTCTGAAGGCACAATTCTTAATTTAACATTCTAGGTTATAAAATGAATTGCTCTTCCAACAACATCACATAAGAAAATTCAGAAATATGTAAGCAGTATATTAAAAACTGGGACCAGATCCAATTAATTATTATAAAAACTTTTTCTCTCTTTCTGAACCCCTTCACCAGGTTCAACAGTCTCCTGGGGCCACTCCCATCCCACTAGACTGGCTTTTCTTTATTATCTATGGGGTCTGATAGCCTCGGGCCACAACCAGATTCAACTTCAATGGCCCATCCCCCAACAAACCCAATAATTATCCTAAAGAAGGCCTGGTTTGAAAAACATATATG